TGTTGCAATCCCTCTGTAACACCTCAACCACCTTTGATATTTCTTCTCTATTTTTTTCTCTCCTTTTTAAGTGTGGGTCTCATCACTTTCTAGCATACTGTGTATAAGTCACATTTTCTACTTACTGTATACTCCTCACTGGAATGAATGTAGGCTCTACCAAAGTAAGAATATTTTCTGCTTACTGTATACTTCACACATCCATTTTCTTCCTTCCCACTATGTTTAAGCAATTACTGTTTTCTTCAAGAAAAAACTGAAATGAACAGTAATGGTGGAGTTTGAATGGGGATGAAATCACAACACCTTTGAATGCAGAGGTAATAGTTTAGGCCATTTTCTTTTTCTGGAATTGTATTAATGTTTTGTGTACTATGAGATTTTTTTTTTCTTTAAACCAGCTGCTAGAGTCATCTCTTTCTTGATTAGACCCTGATGAGAGGTAAAAGAAGACAAATTGATTCTGATAGAGAATAAGTATTCCTATGCTTTGTATCTCTCAGTCCAATTCCATTTGATTGATTACTTTTTGAGGCTTCCCAGCAACTAATAGTGGAATTCACAACCACTGGTTGCCTCCTACAGTGTACAAATATTTGGCACATTTGGATGGGCTCTTAACAGCTGATGGATGTGGAAGTATGAAAATATCAAACTTCAGAGATAGTTCATACTTTTTAGTCTTGTATGTTAATACCCCTAATCTGGGATTCAGAAGATATAATATGTATTATTATTGTGTTGCTTCCTGCTGATTTTTCCCTCCTCCTCTTTATTCACTAGTTCCTCCTTTAAGAATACATATAAAGAAATTAAAAGCTAAAAACTAAAATTCACAAGGAGACTTTTTACCTATTTGCCAAGACCTTTGATGTTTCTCCGTAAATAAACTCATACATTTTTTCCTTACCCTCATCTAATTTCTTGTCCTTTAAATTTATTAATGTTAGCTTTGTGGATGAATAATTGCTTTATTTATATAATTTTTAATATAACTTTTTACATGTTAATTGATGCATGTAGGGAAAATGGAAGTTACCATGGCCAGGATCCTCACCTGACCCTAATCTCCATGCCCATGGCACATGTACAATGCCTTCAGGTGCATTCTTGCACGAGTTGACAATGAACTATTATTGACTGTGTCACTAAATAAAGCACTCTGTCTGCCCTGTGCTCTGTGCACACAAGCAAAGGCACAGATTGAGGACTTGCTGGATGCAGATGTTATTGTCTAGCACTCAACCTGCCATCATGAGAATAAAGCTTGTTATAGAACCTTTTACCCCCCAAGGTTCGATTGTTATTATTTGGTCTCACAGAATCAAGAGTGAACTTACCAAAAGCTGAAATCTGGTGTAACAATAAATAATTAATGTTAATGGTTATGTATTTCTCTTTTTGCAAAGGATAGAATATTATCTTAGTGAGGAACCTTGCATTAGAGTGAAAGCTATACATTTTTAGGTTCTCTTCCTAATGTGGTCCAGGGTGAATATAGTTTCTAGGAGGAACTCATGTGAGTCACATTAACTTTCCAAGTACCGTAGGTTACTATTTAACACTAAGAAATAGACAATGTATTTAATAATGCCAGAGAAGAGTTCATTTTACTTTATTTGCCTGACTACATTTTCTTTTCATTCTTTGTGCTTTTCTACTTCTCTGTTCTCTAAAGAACAGTTAATTAACCCTATGGTATGTGATCAGATATACAGGGATTATGTCTTCTTGCTTTAGGACTATAACATCTGTCCATTAGCATAAAAATACATTCACTTTGCAAAATCTCATGTCTCTAAAAGTATATTCCCACCACTGCATGTTATGTTAAGCCCTGCTACTAATCTCTTCATGGTATTGCTAAACTGTCTGCTAAAAAGAGTTCATTATATATGATTAAAGTCAACCTTATTTTCAAAGCATTTTTATTTATTTCAAAGAAAAAATCATGAAAATCTCTCTTAAATGATATAGTAGCTAAACTTACAACATAATATTTTATTGGTTACTGAATCAGTACTATGTCTATAACTAGAGTATTACATTCTCTACTCCAAATCCTTTCATTTGGTCCCTCATTGCTGCCCATACTCAACGGTAACACGTTTATCCTGATTATCCATATTAGATGATGATTTACATTCAAGAACTTCCTGTATCTTAAGATTTCTACCCCTACTACTGCTATTTCTTGCCTGCCTATTTTATTCATTCATTCACTCACTCATTCATTCATCCCTCATTCATCACTTTTTCTCTACAAAACCTAATATGAAACATGTTCTTCCACGATCTTAAAATCCATGTATTAAGGAAAATAGAACATTATAACTATGGTTCTCTGAGGCCTCATGTTTGTTGCGGAATGTGCATTGCAAACAGAATTAAACATTTGAAAATAGATATGCAGAGAAGAGGCAATCTTGTGAGTGGATCACTCTTGTTTCAAAATGGTTATCAACATAATCATATAAACTATTTGACTAAATGCTGCTGTAATCATTTCCCATTAGTGTTACATGGAAACTAATCGTTTAATGATTTAACCAGGCTAAGATATTTTAAACATTCTGTATTGAAATGATTATCTATATTATTTAAACCAACTAAGTATTATCAACTTATATAATCTAGTACATTTTTGTATTTTAAGTAACTTTTACTGTGTTATCCAACAATATAAATACTGCTGAAATACAATTCACTGGTTGTATTGCACATTTATTTTCAAATTAGATATAACTTCTGAAATATTTAGACTAAGTGATTAATTAAGGTTTCATTAATTCAGAAAAAAAAAAACCTTATGAATGAAAAACCAGAGTCAAGTCTTAAAATTTTGGCATTTTTGTGGCATTTTTCTTTTATCTGAATTACTTAACCAGAATCTATATAAAGCATAGGGTATATTTTATTTTTAATAAATGGTTTAGTTCAACAACTTTATTATTTCTCTTACATACTTTTATTGCTAATCTACATACATAAGCCCATATTTTTTAAATATAATTAAGTATTTGTAATACAAACCTTTAATCCAAAACTGATATCAAATTAACCTCACTAAAAACATAGATGATAATGTAAATATATCCTGAAGGTAAGAGTCAATTGTCAGCATTGCTATGTCTTTCTAAAATTAGTTGTTAGGAGACGTAATACGTTTCTCCAAAAGTGTCTTTAAATGACTGCATTTATATTATATAGTTCTTGATTTCTGTATCATATAACAATAGCTAATATAACAATATCACCTTTTATTAATTTAATAACACGAGTGTTTGATAAAAGGTTTTAAAAAACTTTTGTTCAATAAATTTGTTGTTTTGTTTTGCTGTTTTGGTCATGGATTGATGCAAAGTTGGAGATAATGAAACTGGTTAGTCTATCTATATTTTGTATGGGTCTGCTTCATAAATGATAAATCTTTTCTCCTAGTTGCTAACATAGTATGTCAAGTCACATAAAGAAACAACTAAATCCCTTTTCATACATGCATAAAACTGTCTCCATACAACTCATTCTGCATTCTTCCTTCAGTAGTTTATTTACTAATGAATCGTGGAAAGCAATTTTTTTTCATATTTTGCCAATGTATTTTTACTCCTCTTATAAAAGATCCAAATAAGCAGTTTTGAAACTATTTAATTTGTTGAATTTGCTGAGTGATTCCCAGCATTTTGAGTCTTATCCCTGTTTGTCTTATGTATTTTCAAGAAATAATTAAATTTTATTCTCATGTGCTACACCTTATTTTCAGTTGCCTTTATGTTACCATAAAAATATCCCCTTCTTTATAGTGTATTGTCTTTTTCTATATTTTATCTTTTTAAAAATGTCTTTGAACAGTTCAGAGACTTTAAAATTAACCTTGAAAATTTTCTCTTTACTGTGGCATGAAATCAAAATGCTGTGTGAAAAAGGTTATATATTTTTAATGTTTTCAAGTGTCAGAAATGAACAAAAGGTGAGTAGTTGAGGTTACGTGACCAAAATGGTTTCATACGAAGAATAACTGCTCAGATCTCTTGGGAGAAACAATTCTTCAAATATATGTATTAGACTTAAAAGACGGCAGTTGTTCCTAACCAGAAATATAGTAGTGGCACTCATGGAAATATTGAAATGAATTTTTATGTTATAAATTATAATAGAATATCAGATATATGTAGTTTAAAGGTGTTTATTGATGTTTAAGTGAAAAAGTAGTTTATAATTGTCTAAATGTTATTTATCCTTCTTATTGAAGACCTGTTCTTTACTGAGATTTTACTTTTGTAGTATCCATTTGAAGAACATTCAATCATTTTAATTTTACTAAATGAGAATTTATTAGTGTATTTGAACTATTTAAAAATTATGTCCCACTTATTGATTAAATCTATCACTACTATTTAAATTTTGAGTTAAAATTTTATAATCTTTAAGTAAAATATTCTACCATAAGTGCTTTTTTCCTAAAGCTTAATTAATCTAGAAATATTTTATTATTTTTTTCAAATTATAAAGTTAATGAATCTATGTGCTTCCTTTATGAATATTTTTAGTAATTTTAATCTCAATTTCTCCCACCCAATTTTTTTTCTAATTCTAATGTTGAAATAGAATGCCAAACAGTAAAATTAAAAAATATATATTTCTATAAATATTGAAGGCAACAGTGATTTACTGGTAATTTCTTCTATGTAGTTAGTGAAATGTTGATTTATTAAAAAGACAGCTAGGGTTATTGGTTTTCTTTTAATAAGTATTGCTTATGAATTTCTCTTAAATCAATAACTGGACCTCTTAGCTGGAATATGATAAAAATATCTATATTAATACCAAGTGGAGAAAAGTGCAGGAAAGTAGATAGATAAAGAGAATTAGATGATTATAGTAATGCATGAGACACTGTGGAGAGAAGACAAGTGATGATGTTTAGAGGGCGTTTCAGAGAATACCATATGACCTTGGGATATAATTGCACGTTAAGTGATGCCATGTTTATTTTACAGCTGCACTCCAATTCTGACAAAGGTGACGGGTCTGTCAAGTACATCCTTACTGGAGAAGGTGCCGGGACTATATTTATAATTGACGACACCACGGGTGACATCCACTCAACAAAAAGTCTAGACAGAGAGCAGAAGACCCACTATGTGCTTCACGCCCAGGCTATTGACAGACGAACAAACAAGCCTCTTGAGCCTGAATCCGAGTTTATCATCAAAGTGCAGGACATCAATGACAACGCTCCAAAGTTCACAGACGGGCCGTACATCGTCACTGTGCCAGAAATGTCAGATATGGGTAAGAAAAACAATCTTTATTTTGGCAGTTAATATATTTTTTAGAATCAATAGGGCTTTCCCACCACTCACAGATTTCTGTGGTCTAGTTGTTTCATTTTATACTTACCACATCTGAGTTTCCTAAATGTAATTAAAATTCAACTCTGATAATAATTGTTTAACTCTCTCTGCGAGATTAAAGCTGGAATTTAGAGCACATTTTTTGAACAAAGATTTTATATCTATAAGTTTCCTGCATATGAGTAATATCTTGAGTTAAAGTTATTATAGTCATTAATCAAATCACCCTGTATATTTAGATATAAAACTTGGCTTTTTCTTTTATTTGGAAATTTATTCTGGTTTTATTGAAATGTAACTGCCATCCAGCACTGTGTAATGTTAAGATGTACAGCATAATGACTTGATTTATATTGGAAATTGATTGCCACAGTAAGTTTAGTTAACATTCATCATCTCATATACATAAAGATTTTTAAATGGAAGATTGTAGCTTCTTCCTTCCCAGCGCCAGCCCACTTTTGTTCTCCTGAGCTAGGCAGATGGCTCCTGAAGCTGTTAGGGGAGCTGGTTAGAAAGGGAGTCTTAAATTATCCTTCTGAACCAGAATCTTAGGGGAGAAAGTAGTTGCCAACCTGGCTCCCCCTGGACCAGACTAGAACACAGGGACCAGCCCCAGAGGGCGTAGTAGAGGCCCAGAAGTCACTCAGGCTCGTTGGTCTCCGAGGAAAGCTCAGGAGAAATCAAAGTGCTCCACACAAGTAACACTGGCAGGTGAGCATCTCTGAGGAAACTCCAGAACAGACTTCCCCCTATAGCCTTTTCAAGGGACTGACAGCCCACTGCCAATCCCCTTCTGTCTGACAAATGAAAAACACTCTGTGTCCCCATTACTCCTGAAGATGCCACTGTTAAGGTACTTCCAGGGGCTGCAAGCCCCCAGGAGCCCAGAGGAAACAACCATAACCAGGGGCAAAGCACCAGAGAGAGAAAACTGGGCAGAAAGGTTATTACCAAGAAAGTATATTGTACAGAAGATGATAAGAACACTAGTGTTTTAAGGACACTGCAATAAGATTTTTGTCCTCAAAGCAATGTGTTTTGTTTATTTTTTTATAAATGAGTAAACAAGAAAAAATCAATATATGGATTGAGCATGAAAGGTCATTAATAAGACCCAAATTTTTGTCCTGGAAATTGAGAACATGTAAGACTGGGTGAAGTAATTAAAAATTAGGAAAAATACAAAAATATGGAAATTGTGGGAACAAGAGGAGACTTAGAGGATATGTTCATTAGACCTACTGTGTGAGTAGATATGTTCCAAGAAAACAAAAAAAGAGCAGATGAAGGGAGGAACAATAATATGTGTTCCTTGACCTGAAGAATATACTGAATTTACATAGACTTTCTGAGTTTCAGGAAGGGTTACTAGAATAAGAAACAAACCTAGGTAAATTGTAGCAAAACTCCTAAAGCCCAAGTAAAAGAAAGTATTATAAGCTTTCAGATTTTTTTAAATTGTCTGCTAAATATATCTACTCATATGATATCCATCACCTGAAATACTACAATCTGGATGACAATTTAATACCACTTACAGCCTACAGAGAAAAGTCTGAAACTCAAATCCTTTGTTTAATCAAAGCATGATTCATTTGTCAGGATATAAGAAATATTTGGAGAAGGATCCAGAAAGCCTATCATGCTCCTAATTTATCTAGAAAAATATTTGAAAAAATAGTTGAAATTGAAAAAAGTTGAAGTGAATCAAAGCAGATCAAATACTCAAGGTAGGGAAATGACAAGGAGAGAAAAACTTACCAGCAATATACTCTAAAATATGTGCCTGTGCATGTGTGTGAACATAGTTACATACAATGATGCTAAAGGATACTGTACAGTCTAAGAATCATGAAGTCTAAACATTTATTTCAGGGAAGGCTGCAGGACTTTGAAGTTTTAGGACTTTGAAACAAGTCAAAACATTTCGAAGTCCGCATCTAGGGCTTGGAGGAAAGGTTAGGGATAGGAAAAAGCTAATATTCTTAAGTTATATTACTGCATGAGTGTGGTTGAGGGCACACTAATATCTGAAAGAAGTAAATTAAAAGAACAAAATAGAGTAGGGTTTAAGTCTCTGTACTACTGTGGTTGCAGGCAATTCTATTGAAATGGTATGGTAGTCTGAGCATTGGAAACTATATTATTATGTGCATACAAACTCATTATTATGGCAAAACAAATGCATAAAAATCATCAAATAGCATCTAATGCACATGGTAATATGAATAGCATAGATGGTGACATGAAAGTTAGTGGAGGAATAAACTCACTTTACATTGTGTGCTTAAGAATGGGTGATATTAATGTTGACTCTGATTTTAGAAATCAAATGTTAGTAATATAGAACAGGGACCAGAACACAGTGACATGGGCGACGAATCCGACCTAGGGAAGTTAATGTTCTGCCAGCTCTGCTGAATATACACTGACAAAAAATGGCATTTGTTACAGATAATAGGATATGCTTCTTCCCTTTAAGCAGGCACTGTTAGTTATCAAATATTCAGCCTCCCTTTTGTGATACTAAGATAATTCAGTTTTGTTGCAGGTGACACTTTGTAGAGTTAAATATTTACCTCCCACTACCCCCTTTCTTCTAGGAGTAGCCATGTGACTGATTCTAGCTGGCAGGATGTCAGTGGAAGCCAGTGGAATGGGGCTTCCAGGAAAGATTTAGGTTTCCTGACAAAAGATATAGTTAGCAAACATATTTCACCCATTGCCATTTTCCTTTCTTGTTTTCTACAATGTGGATGTGATATACAATGCAGTAGCCACTTCCAAGCATAGGAATGAAAGCATCTTGCTAAGTGATATGGAGGAGAAAAATAAAAGATCCTGGGAGAATGATGCTATTGCAGAAAAAAAAATGATGCTCTGGCCCTGGCCTGCAAATTCTAAAATCTTTTTTTTTGTTTTCTTTTTTTATTGAAGTATAGTTGATATACAATCTTATATTGGTTTCTGGTATACAACACAGTGGTGCAATAGTTGGCTACATTATCAAATCCTCCCAAGACCTTTCCTAAGAAAATGAACTCCTCCCTATTTAAGCTCTTCAGTTGGATTTCAGATTCAAGGAGTTACATGGAATCTGAAATGGTAATTATACAAATTCTGTGTTATAACAAAGTCTCAGTAAGCAAAGAATTAAACCTAAAACTGGATTCAATGAAGTAGTGAGAAAGGTTTCAGCATCAGCTAAGAGACAGTAATGTTATTGTCCTCATAGTTATTTGGAAATGACACATGAAATGATCATTCCTTTCCCTTCTACTATGTCATTGTGATGCTAGACAATTTGGCTATGGCCACAATTTTCCTTTCCAGCCTAGTGTAGCCAACTATTGATTTCAGATATCTAAATTTTGCTTGCCATCAACTGCAGAACTAATTGTATCCATGGAAGTTCTCATCAGTGGATAAAAGGAGACTAGACATTTTGAATAGAGACTTTGACTTCTATAGAAAATCTAAAATTGATCACCACAAAACAACCAAGTAATTTTGTCAGGGACTGAGACTATAAATCCTGCAGCAGTTGTGATAATAATCACTGAAATAGCTCCAAGGAATATTTATTGAGTGCTTACTATCTTCCAGGTGTTGAATGCCATTTGCAGTAATTTCATGCTTATATCATCATGAAGGCAGCATTATGATTAGAGAGGATGAAATTAATGCATAGAATTAAGTAATATGCCCACAATCACATGGTTAGTAAAAAGTAGAACTGGAAAAGAGTTCTAGTTAGGCAGAGTTCCAGCTTCTGAGTTCCCATTTTTTAATATAGTTGTAAGTTAAAATCTGGATGAAGCAATTTATGGAATAATTATAATAAAAAAGTAGATGTTTCATAATCTATACAGTTCACTGAGCAAAAGATGGAGTCTCGATTCTTTAGAATAGATTTGATGTTATAATAGTGTTTATTTTTCTAAGAGAGAGGATTTGGGAATGACTACATATTATAAAGAGGAAAAGTCACCCTAAATTGCCTAGAAAGAAGGGAATACCCATTTTATGTACACTAGAATCTAATATCTGGGGAGCCCACCAGGGACTTGCTCTTGAAAAAAAAAATGCTTCTAACAGACCAAAATATGTACTTTGGACATAGGGTGGATAAAGACAATGGTCAGCTTCCAGGTAGGTACCAAAAACTGAAAAACTTGTGACATAGATGTTGTAGACAGTGAGGCATGTGGAGTAGCTCAGGGACACTTTCTGGAGTGGAAAGTCACCTCCTTAACTGAGCTAACAAGTGGAAATCAGATGGTGGAGCAGAGGTGCTCATGATGTTAAGAAAATGTGAAATGGTATATTTCCCCAACATTTAAGGATAAAGTAAATGGTAAATTAATCCATGATTAAACTATAAAAAACAGAAGCATTCAATCTGTTAATAAAAAGCACAACCACATAAAAACAAAACAAATGTGGTAAAGGAATTTTTAATGTAAGATATGAATTGAATAACCAATAAGAAAGACATGAATTTAAATGAATACACTTTTGAAAATGTAGAATGTCAAACAATAATGCTGAACCAAAAAAGAGAAAAGATAAACTAAAATACATGTAAACATACATGGCAGAGGACTAATTTTTATTACACAAGGGCTTTTTTAAATAATAAGAACAAAATACAACCAACTAAAACGGGGACATTACCTGAGCAGGAGATTCATAGAAAAAAATAGACACATGTTCCCCCCACCAAAAAAAAAATTCTCAAATTTCACTGTAATTTAAGAAACCACAAGAAGGAGATACCAATATTCACATTCCAAGTATGCTAGTTGATGATTCACAAAGTTGTTAATGTGCAGAACTGTTAGTGGAAAGGTGAATTACCATAGCTTTCTTTGGAAATTAATTTGGTTTTATCTACCAACATTTCAAAACGAACATCTCCTTTTGTTGGAAAATATCTATTATAGAGAACTATTCTATAGATACAC